GAGTCAAGTGTCTCCATCCTTTTACGTCGGTCCATGCATTTTTCACAATTCTCCAAAAGTTCGTAGAGTACCAGCCAATCTGGGCACCCCAATGGCTTTGCCCCTAAATTTGCCAAATATGCTTGTGAGAAAGGTACGCAGTGGCACTTGACACTGACATGCCTCCGAGTTTGGTACAAAAGAGTTTTCTGCTCTCAAGGGTGGGGCAGGGCGGCCGAATCTGAAACATCCACTTGCCTCACTTGCTGTTGGGGTTTAACTTGGGCTTATTGTATTCACACAATGTGCGGGACTTGGCTACGGACAAGACAAAGTGTTATGGGGTAAACCGTAGCAGCCTGCTTGCGGCAACTGTTGGAAGTGCTTGACCTTTTCCTTATTGCTGTTGCCTGGGCATTATTTGTTCAACGCGTTTGGGCTTGCCTTCCGCGACGGTCACCGCGCGGTCAGTGCACTGGGTTTCACGGGTAGGCGCCCTGTTCTCCAGCGCCAGTTGCCTGCACTCTGGCCAGCCGCCTTGTGACGTCGGACGCAACCGCCTGGCCACGTTGGTTGCAGCCGCCCGGCAACGCTGGACGCAAGCACCGCTTTGCAAGGCCTTGGATGGTCCTCCCACCTCCCACCTTGGCACGAACTCGTGGCCGGGGCTCAGCACAGCTTCACCGCCATTCAAGCAGGCTTATAAGGTTAAATTTAGGCTTATATTCAAGCTTATTCTGGTGATGACAGAAAAGTTACTTGACGACGACGTGGCGACGACTTGACGACGACATGGCGACTACTTGACGACAACAGTGGAGGACGTGCAGTGTCTGTGACATGCCTTGAGGTATTGGTTGGTGTGTCCGCAGCGTTTCCCGAGTGCGTACCGGCATTGACAATCGTAGTTCCGAGTTGTGTGGTCATGCCGCGGAGTATTGCTGCGTCAATTTCAGGGACTGACGATGCTACTGCTCCTCACACTGGAGTTGCGCCACCCACCTCCACCTGAAGCTAATCTTCCGGATGCCTATGTTGCCATGCGTTTCTTTGTGGTGTTAGTCATTATTGCCTGAGGATATTGCAACCGTGCAAGATGTCTAAGTAAACCTGCAGGCGGAAACTGTTTTTGCACTTTCACCGTCCCAAAACATCGCCTGAACTGTGTTTGCTTGTTGGTGCGACCCTTTTGGCGAGCAATGCGCGCAATCCGGGCTGTGCGGAGCTGTGCGGGGCTGTAGCGCTGGAGCCGGAGTTATCACACCCACAACTAGCAGCTAGCAGATGTCAACATCCCATCGACTTGCTTTCCGGCCCTATATGTTTCCAAAATATATATATATACACATATTTCTATTGTTATTATATATATATACATCAAAACGGGCCTCAAAGATGCCGGCTTTGGGAGTTGATGGACAAAGTGGATGCAACGAAAACAAAGCTGTGGCACACACGAAAGTTTTTCCTGGATCCAAAAGTCCATTGGGTGTCATTTGCTTGTGGTCATGTTGTGGGTCAAGGCTTTAGTTTGCATGGTCTAGGTTGTAGGTTAGACGGAACCCCCCTTGATAAAAGTATGAGGGGTTCAAATCAAGTCTCGAGCTCTCCCCGTCCGCCGTGCTGCCAGCCGCAAAAAACATCGCATCCTGTGGCTGCCGTACCTGTGTCACCTTGTGCAAGACGCCCATAAAGACCTGAAAGTGGGGGAGGGAAATAGGAGGGTGTATGTTTATATACTGTTGCCTGACATCTGCGCCCTCATTCAAGGATTTGCAAACAGTTGGCCCCCCAAGACAGTAGCAAAACCATGCAAAACCATACCCCAAAAAAGGCAGTCAACGTGGCAACGTGACACTGATATCCACTTTGCCGCGCCACTCATTCGCCAACGTGACCCATGCCCATTTCCCAGAAAACACCAGGGCCAGTTCCCGCTCCCCTCGCCTAAAGCGTGAAACCTGCATAGGGTGCATAAATTGTCCCAGTCGCTTAAGGGGCTAGCTCCCAACTCCCTAGCACAACACCATCCCGAGAGCCGGGGCTAGCGGTGCCACCGGTCCACATTGGACAACCTTGTCACAATGTTGTGGGACAACCACACTTGTGGCCCGGGCGGGGAGGCGCTGCTTGGTGAATGCCGTATGGATCCATCTAGCCGCCCCATCTCAACTGATGAGGGGCACGGCGTCTGTGCATTGTTTCCCCTATACAAATTCGCATTCGCCCCGGTCAGGGTACCAATGCGGAATTCGTTGCTCAACATTCGCACTATGGCTTGCCAGCTTCCAACTTTGTGGTAGCAGCGCTGCGACCATGACAGCGTACCGGCCTTCCATGCATGTCTTCACATGCTTTCCACGTCGCCGGGAGGGCCTACAACGCTCCGTTAATTTCCGCTGCGCAACGTTGAGCATGTTCTGCAAGTAGCCCTGTGCCCCGCCCTGAAAGCATTTTGTGGGTCACGACAGCATCGAAATACCGAAACCTTTGTTGGATGCTCCTGTATTTGTCGCACAAAAGTGATTGAAACATGAGGCGCCCGCGTGCTATCCAAACGGCGTTCCGTATCCAGAGGAGACTTTTTGGACCCTTTTGTCGCGAGCGTGCCAAAAACTAATAAGAATCCACTTTGATATGAGCACCGCGTGCAGGTCACCAAATCTTTGATCGACTCACTTTATTTCAAGCCAATATTTTCCAAACCGCCTATCAAAAAGTATGGCCCATCCAACCCTACCCGCCAAGAGGGTTGGAGAGGGGCAACCTACAATGTACGGATTGTTTTCTGACCATTTGCCGAACATTTTGTTGGCGCTTAAGTTGAACCCTCTCAACTGACGAGGGGCTTGGCATCAGTGCGGCATCAGGGCAAGCTCCCCCTTCCAGTCCTCTTGCCAAGACACTTCTCATCCACCGTGAGCACGGCGCCCATCTGCGAGGAGACTTAGTGGTCACCCATCCATTCAGGATCTCCTAGTGAGGGATCAGAGGTATTGCCCCAAGCGGCGTCATGGCACGCCAAGAAGGTCAGGGCGTGCTGATCGATCTTCGGAGGGCGACCGCTTAGTTTTTGTGCCGGATGGCACTGTCCACCGTCCTGTTCACCTCCTTCAGGGCTTCGGCCGTGGGATCGTTCTGTGCTCCCTGTGCTTGGGAAATGGTGAACTGGAGATAAGGCCTCGTGTGTTTGGCAAGCCGTGGTAGCGCCCCGATAGCGCCCCGGTAGCAGTGTTGTTCTCTTCTGGTGATGATGCGGACTGACACTCGGGAAAGCCTGCCATCGATGGTTTTTGTCTGCAGCGAAAGTTCACGGCTCAAACTTTGGACGTTTTTGATACTGTCCCGTCGCCAGATGTGCTAAGGGGACCTGAAGGGGGAACAGCACTGCAGCAACCGACACGGGCTAATCGACATAGCTGGTGTGTTGATCACGAGCTCCTCTGCCGTCACCTAGTGCTCGCTGCCTACATACCCAAAGTCACCTGAATGCCATTCATCCACCGGGAACTTGTTTTGAAAAGTCGCCTCCTTCTGAACCACTGAGGGGTTGAGCGTTTGTACCTAGACATGAGTTTGTCGGCGTGCTGGGGGGGAAAAGTTTGGAATCCTTTCCGATTTCTTTCTTGAAACCACGTTCAGCCAGAAGCATTAAATCATCCACGTGAGTACGGAGCAGTCCTGTTGTTTCGTTGGTGGCCAGTCCCCTGAACATGAAGACGCGAGGGTCGATGGGGTTCTGCATGAAAGGCAAGACATCACCATATGACATCCCTTTGAGATCGCCGGACAAATTCATCCACCATAGTTTGGGATTGGTGGATAGCTGGACAGGCTTGAGGATTTAGGAGTGAGGCATCTGTTGGATGGACTCGCCCTTTGAAAGAGATGGCGTTTGCGCCCGGATTCTCCCCACTCGGGGCGTCTACAGCAAAAATGGTCACGGGTTCCCGGCCAAAACTCACATGTTGATCCAAGGCCTTCACCACAGCATTGGCGAAGGACATAGATCCACGGGGGCTATGGTGGAACCGGAATCACGAATCCAACGTTGCAAGGCAGATGAATGCCAAATTGCACTGGTCCTTGGAATTTGGATGCTGGTAAATCCGCCGTGCCTTCGCTGCTCGACAATGACTTCGTCGATGAGCGCGGCCGTCTCCGCAGCTGCTTGTCATAGTTCAAGTTGCAGAATCCGCACCACATGGTGCATGGAGTTGTCATCCATACCATAGTGGGTTTCAAAGACCAGATCTGGTCAATCACAGAGGAGCGGCATTGTCGGTCTCGAAGGTCATGGCCATAGCGAATGTCGACCGGCTCAAGCACTCCTCTTCTCTACATTTCGGAAATGCGAGCATGCCCATCGAACAGCAGGAGGACTGGTTCATGCGACGGCGACGACGCATGCCCTCCTTGGCCTTCTCTCTTGGGGACTTTCCTCCCCCAGGGTGCTCATAGAAGAGGGTGTCGTAAGAGGCCTCCAAGATCTCCGGCGCATCCTCAGTCAAGAAGGCATGGCCACCCAGGTCAAAATCATCCGGGTTCTGCACGTTGGCCGGCTTGTCATTCTCAGACACCTCAGAAGCCAGTTCATATGCAATTTCATGGTCACGAGCATCCACCCACTGGAGTGAGTCACAAAGAACTCCATGAGTGTCAATCAAACACATCCTCTCCATCTAGGGCATCTTCGAATTCATCCGGATCGGCCTCATCAGACGAGTCGAGGCCCTTTCCTTCATCTTGACACTTGAGGACAGGTGAGGCCTCATTGATGGGGGTGTTCACGCCTTGCTTTTCCTTCAGTTCCAAAAAGTTCCAAGGCTGCGATCTCCACATCGTAGGTGTCGTCCTCGATTAGCTCCACATCGGAATGCCCACGGGTTGGAGGTGGCGACTTTGGCCCATGACGTGTCCGAACTCTGAGAAGCACAGGCACAGAAGCTAGTGCCTCTGGATCCCTCGTGAGGTTGCAAGTGGGTGACAGGACCTTGTCGATCTTCTCCAGTTCGCGCCCCATGCCGCCAGTCGTGCCAAATCCGGGTGAGCGCTCTCTCTTTCTCTTGGCCTCCGCCTCCGCCACTGCCGGCGGGGGACTTCCTTATAGAGCCAACCCTTGAAACTTGCCGAAGTGAAGGGAACGATCGTGTCCGATGGAGTGGCCCTGGACTCGCGAAGGGCTTTGATCAGTTTGGCGGCATGGCAATGCCTTCGCCCTTGGCCTGGCGATCAACTCCGCCAGGCTGTACTTAGTGATGCCCTTCATCGGATCTGTTTGACCCTTCGGCTCGACGCGTCGACCGAGACCCTGAAGAGAGTCAAAAAGTGCTCTTTTCAGTTGAGGTTGTGAGTTCTTCCATTTGGAGGGCTCAAACAAGGCCGGGTCATCTCATGGGGGCTTTGCGGCTTTGCATGTTTCCTTCCACCACATGTAGAAGGTTGCACCCGAAAAAATTTAATCCTTCAACATGTTCTCGACCTCCAGTCGGGCCTTCCTGGGGTAAAAGAGAGTGGTCATGGAAACAAGGTTGTGGTCCCGAGAGCTCGCACCACCAACAAAAGCAGCAGCCACATATTGCTCTGGCATCGGAATCCACATGTTCCCCTCAATGCCATCCGGCAAGCTAGGAGGGGCATTGTTGGGAAAATCATCAACAACTGCTGGATGTCCCGTCTCGCTGATGGCGAACGGCAGTCGTTCCAAGCCGACGGCACGCAAAGAGACTTATTAGGCGGCTACATCAAAAGTCATGCCAAGCTGCGCCAGCGCAGGCCGGCTGAAAAGCAGTGGCACAGGGCATGGGAACGATGGCGATCTTGCCGGCAATCCGTTTGCTGGCTGCTGTGAACCAAACCACATCCACACGGAAAAAGAAAACCGGTGAACCCTGGAAGAGCCAAACTTGAAATGGTCCGCTTCCTCACAAATCTTCAGCTGAAAACTCAAAACCACGAGTACCAGCCAAGGCCCAAAACTTCTCGAACCAGCCGTAGCCAGCAACAGACTTTGTGCAAGCGGTGTCAACAATCGCCTTGACCTGCCCACCGTCCTTGATGTCGGTGGTCGTGTAATTTGGGGACGCAAACATGAAGCAGCATGCGAGGCCCTCCACCAGGTTCTCCTCATTGAGGATGGTGTCATGGTTCACAGGAACATCGAGGTTGGAGAGCATGTAGCACTGTTGCGCGGTGTGGCACACCTGAGCATGTTGAAGTTGAGAGGCCTGAGCAGTAGATTTCCCTTTGCCACCTTGACGAAGAGGACACTCAGGATCTTTGTGCCAATGCCGTGACACTTGCATGCACTGCAGTACAGCCTCTGTTTGGCCAGCTTCAAGCGCTTTCCCGAACGCCTGC